AGAATCTAATAAAATTATAAGTTAACCACTACAAAATGTGACATGTATTACAGTGATTGTTAAAATAAAAATCTAAATTTAATTGTATAATTTTATCTAGGTATGCAAATGGTCAATTTGATACGAGAACATACCGGCGTCCAACATGGCCTCATACGATGTCTCCAAAAGCATGCGGGACTGGGGGTCGATCTCATCCACCATCTGATCCATGAGCCCAAAGAATGTGGAGTCAAATAGTTTGTAATCATCAATCTTTCCCATTCGGTTCGATATATCGTATAAACCTTTTTTGGACAGGGTCATATAAATAATTTCGGATTTTTATATTTATAATTATGAATTCTTTGTTAAATAATCTAACTATATTAAATAATAATAATATTTATAGTATCATAAATTATGTGTAGATAATTAGTTAAAACTGTTAAGTTTGCAATACAGCATAGTATGAATAATTCCTATAAACTATGCATACAAATTTACAGTATATTGACACAAATGTTTGTTCATTTTTATATTAGTAATGGATTATTGTCAATAATAGTAAATATATTTAATAGTAAACACACACTTAAGAACAAATTATCAAAAGTAATTAAATAGCAGTTTCTATAAGTAATTTATTATCGGATAACAATTAATTGAATATTTAAATTTAACAAAATTAGTTTTAATAATTTTATAAATTTAATATTTTAATAATAAACTACCTAAATATTTCATTATTTCACAAGTAATTACAATAATTTATTTTTAAATAGATTACAAGTGAATAAAATCTATGGATATCTTACCCATTGGCCATCGGCTGTCATCATCGGTAACCATATCGATGCCATCGAACAGATTCTTCGCGAACTCGTCGGTGTTGGCCGAGAGGGGGAACCGACCGCCCATTCCCGTCACTAGTATATCGTCGGCCGACATGACTGTCCACTCGCTCTTAAGCTTACGACTTATTTATTAAAAACAAAATTTATTTATTTATTTACTGCAAGAATAAAAGCTTTAAAACGGGTCGACTCTATACAGCAATTCTTTATAAGTGATATATTTATTTAAAACTGTAAAATAAAACTTTACTCAACGAATCAGTTTTATTTTCAACAAATATTTTGATAAATCAATAATAAGTTGTTCAAGGAATATAAGATTTATTGGCGACAAAACTATATAAATCCTTATAACTAGAGGTTTGTGGCTCATAACCATGGCTTATATAGATTTTGGCGACAGGGCTCGTATTGTTTTTTCTATTCCCCAATAAATATGTGAAATGTTAATTCGTTTTTACAAATATCACATAGTTAGTTAAATCGGTATAAATCTATATAAATATGCAAATATTAAATACTACCTCATTATGAAACTTGAAAATTTTTGTTTTATTAGACACCGGTATACGTAATAGAAAAATACTTGATTTACGCGCTTACTAGTCAATGGTAAGCAAGGTAGACATAGAGGGAGAGAGTGAGGGAGGGAAAGGGAGAGAGACTGAGGCAATGCTAATAAAAATACATTTTTTATTGATTATTGAAACTTGATTGTACCTCCTTGGACATTAAGGTACATAAGCAGTAATAGCAGTAATATTGACGAGTAAGTTAATTTAATACGAGTTGTGTGTTATTTTTTGACACTTTCTGGGAAAATATAATTTTAAAAATTCTTATCACAAAACTTTTTTTCTTTACAATTTCTCATTTAAATAACATTTGATTTTCAAGGATTTGTTTGTCGTAATATTTTTTAATAGCATTGTAATGATCGAATTATAATCAATTTGTACATATTAGGTATCGCACAAAGTTTTGCGAGGTACGATTTATTCAGCAATGGATAGAGATATTGAATATATTTTTGAACCTCAACTATGGTTTTTACTCATAT